GACATGGAAGGGAAATTGCAATTATAAATCTACTTATAGCACTACCAATATCTAGCCAACTTCCTTGAGGAGTAACATAAAACATGAGTGGTAACGACAAACAATCTCCCAATAAAAGTACTCCAAAAAAGATACTTGAAGATTCTTCAAACATATGACTTATACATCCAATTAGTATTAAAGGTATACATATTTTTAAGAGTATTAATAAGAACATTGTAAATGGAGAAAAAACTGTTACAAAATGACGAGTCCAAGAAGGATTAAATGAACTGATACTTGCCATATTTCCAGTTCCGAAGAAACATAGTAATGTGTATAACATCTATGATAAATTGTTCAGGATATTATTGATTTAAGAGTATAATTTGAATTTGAATATTATATTAATATAGGATACAAAGATTGCTGCTTTAAGCAATTCTTCCATTGTCAAAGCATTTTTAGTATTTTGATGATATTGAATAGAAGAATTAGATTGCAACCAACAAGATAAATGTAATGCAAGAATTATAAAAAAACAAGGTTCATAAGATGCAGATAATAAAACAAGTGGACAAAAAAATCCAACATAATTCCTTGCATTCTTTCTTTTGATTGCATAGGATAAATGCAAATATATAATGGTGTTGTTAATAAAATTGTCCATGATATCCAATTTCGACCATCTATAAATTCCAAATATATTAATCCTGTAATTGTTAATCGAAAAATTTCAATTGCTTTTTTATATTTCGACTGTATCTTTAATATAATTATTATGGTTACGATACACATACTAAAAATTCTGAAAAAAAATATTTTAATTACATTTAATTAAAAAAAAGAATTTGATTTAATATTACAATTTTAAACTTACACGATATAAATCCGAGGATATGGTTCTACAACAGGCAATAATGGAAAAACAGTTAAAGATAAAGCTGTCCAGAAAAATAAATTTTGAGTATTTTTTAATACTATCTTTTGATTTAAAATAATGCATAACATTCCTATACTAAGAATAGACCTATATGTTAAGCCAATAAACATTATTACCAATAAAAAAATTATTTCTGCAATTATTGTCCAATAATATTTATTATTACAAATTTTTAATTTTATTGTATATGTGATTGCATTTCGAATAACTAACCAGAGAGAAACCATAGCTAAAAATGTGTAGTAGAATAATCTCCAATTATTACAATCTGAAAATATTTTAATTAAAATGAAAACTAATAATTTTTTTTTACAAACATTAAATTATATATTACATAATTATATAACATACCTTTATACATAATAAATATTGTAATTACTAAAATTACAAATACTATATTTGTGATTAATAAAATAAATGAATGTACAACAGGTCGATTAACTCCAGTTATTTTAAAAAATAATGATATTATCCATCCTAGCCACATTATAGATAAATATAATAAAAATCGTGTTCTTTGATATTGTCGAAAATATAACAAAGACTTTTTAGCTAGTTTGATTGAATTAATAATTTCTTTTAGTTTTTCATTTAAATCTGCTGTTTCAAAATCTTTATCTAAAGTAACAATTTTATTATCTAATTCTATTTCTCTCCAATCTGCATGTTCATTATCTTCACAATTCATTTTATGATTTGCTTTTACTTGATATGTTAGCTGTTTCAAATTATTTAGCAATGCGTAATTTATGTATTTAAGATCAGTAACATTTAAATACTGCCAAGGTAATACACCCTAGAAAATTATATTCCTGTAAATATTTAAAAAAATAATAAAATTAATATTATTTTTATACATACTTCATTGTTAATTGGAATTGGAGCACCAATTAAAGTAGAAATTAAAGGTGTAATATCAATTTGTTCTACATTTTGACGAAAATTAAATGTATTAATTCCTGCACCCCAAACAATTAATGGTGTCTCTGTTTCATCTGCAGAACCACTTCCATGGGATCCCCAATCAGTCATTCCATGATCAGATGTAAAAATATATGCAGTACTATTATCTCCAAAAAAATTTTCTGTTATTTGTACGACTTCCTTTATTTTCCGATCAACATAATTCATGTTAGCAACATATTCTCTATATTTAAATGTCATTTAGAGCTAATGAAATTACAATTTTATTAAATATATCATTCTTATTATCAAACTATAAAATAACTTATTTTCAATACTTTGAGTAAGGTTTTACTGCATGTCCTGTAGTATCACAGCCAAGAAGATGAAGAAATAAAATAACACGTTCAGCATTTTTAATTTTGTGAGCATCTTCTCTTAACCATTCAATATATTTATCAAATACCCAAGAGTCTAAACGCCAAATTTTACCATGCATAATATCAAAATTTTGCCATTCAGAGGGATAACTATCACCATATATATTTCCTTTTATACCTATTATTAGGAATGTTACTTTCTTTTATACTTTTTTTTAATATAATAATAAATTTATTTTACATAAAATTTTATTTCAAATATATATGTATTTATGATACCTTTTGTAAACATAGGTATAATGTCAGGACTACCCCATGCCCACGAAAGATAACTTTGATTAAAAATAGAATCAAAATCAACAGGATTTTCTTTCCATCCTTTAAATATAGCACTGGGATCTTCATATAATCCTGCACAAATTGCAACGATACCTGGTCTAGATTCTGTTGGTACTCGTGTATGAGATATACCCCAAGCACCTTTATTTGTCATCACATGTCTATAAGAAATTTTATTTATATATATTTATTATATATATTTCAAAATCTTATTTATATATATTTATTATATATATTTCAAAATCTTATTTATATATATTTATATTATATATTTTAGTTTAAATATATTAAAATTGTTAATTTAAAATGAATTTTTATGTAAAAAATAAATTCTATTTACTTCAAAAATTTTGGTGGTTCTTCAATGAATGTTCTAAATCTTAAACCATCTGCTACAAATAAAACTAATCTTTTTGCTGGTGCATTCTTTAAAATTGATACATTTGGCAATTCTTGAATAATGGGAGAATGAAAATTAACATCGAGTATACCCCATAAAAATATCAAATGCACTGTCAAACCCCATATTATAAATAAATAATTGTTAATTATATTCAACTTCTTATTATACATTTTTTTTAAATAATTTTTGGAATTTCAACAATAATATAATACAATTTTTTAAATATGCACTTCTTTGAGTAAACATTTAACCTATAAAATTAATATTTTAACTATGTTACAGTTAAATATGTTACTTAATATTAATTTTATTATACTCATTGTATCATGAAAAATATTATATAACGTATTTTTTAAATTTATCGTGAAATTTTTAATGTAATCATATTCAAACAAATTTAATAGATTAAAGTTTGAAGTTTTAGAAATTATGTATTATGTACTAATCATTTTAATAAATCAATTATTTAGAATATATATATATATATAATTACTAAAATATACTTATATATATTTATATTTATACTTAAATAATCAAAAATATTTTTATATGTTAATTCAACAAAAAAATTATTATACAATCGATTTTAACAAATTTATATACATGAAATAAATAAATAAATATATATATATATATATATAAACGTATAGAAAATAATATATTATTAATATAAATATTTATAAATTATTTATAAAATAAGAAGAAATATATTTATCAATCTTTTTAATTTATAAATAATATGAAAATGTGATTCACACATATATCAGATATATCATATCACGATGGCTGTCTTCTATACTTTGAAATAATTTCAGAGGTGAGGTAATAACCGTGAATACAATGCGAAACTCATCAAATTTTGTTGTAACATTAGTTTGTTATTACATTTTATATAATATTTCAATATGTATATAATATTAGTAATAAATATATTTATTAAAAAATCGTATATATATATTAATACATTTTAAGTTTTTTTTAAACGTTTATTTACATATATAATTTTTAGGTTTTAATTAAATACAACGTGTGATTATCTAATTCTAATTATAAAAATAGTAATCAAATAAAAAAAAGTTATAAAAAATGGTAGTGGGTGTTTTTCCAGCTCTCAAATTGGGAGTCTTATTTGTTAAACAAATTAGTAAACCTTTAGCAAAGTTCCTTGTTAATCAAGCTAAAAATCATCCTGTATTTAGGACATATTTTATCATACCACCTGCTCAATGTGAGTATTGAATTAAAATATTTAAAGTTTTATTGAATTAAAAAAAGTTTAATTGTGATGTAATCATTACTGTCATTATTAATATAATTATATAAACACTTGTCATACACATTTGTATATTTACATAATTATTTCATATTTTTATAATTTAATTCCAGTTTATCATTGGGCAGAAGTAAAAGCAAAAATGTATTTAATGAATCTTGGCAAACCAACAAAAGTTGCAAAATTAAATGAAACTATGGCTATTGAATTAGGAGCTAATCTAATGGGTGAGGTTATTATTTTTAGTGTTGCTGGTGCTTGTTTAATATTGGAATACAATCGTCAAGTAACTAAAGAATCAAAAAAAGAAGAAGCACGTCTTCAACAAATACAAACATTTACAAATGATATTAACAATTTAAATCAAATTACATCTCAACAAGAAAGTGAAATAGAATATTTGCAAGAAGTAATTAAAGAATTAGCAAAACATACAAAATATGAATTGATTATAAAATCAAGAACAAAAGAGCCAAATAAAGAAGTGCAACAATTTAATGTTGATAGAAATCAAAATACAAATGTGAATCCAAACAATAAAAAATCATCAATAATTGAACGTGCCATATTATATTATGAAAATAATGTAAAAACAGATAATCTCAGTTAATTGAAATTTTATTTTAAATTTTATTAATGATTTTGATAATGTACTTATAATATTAATGATACTAAAAAGAACAAATAATACATCTTTATAATCTCATAGTGTATATAAAAAATACTTTCCACAATATGTACATGATTTTATGTAGAATTAAAATCATACATAACACTTTGTACATTAATATTTTGTACATTATTATTCAAAATATTTAATATTTTGTATTTATGTTTATACATGTAGTTTTATATTTTAATTTTTTCATTAATAATTTTCAAAAACAGGAAAAGAAATATTTTACTTTTATAAAAGATTTTCAAATCATACTATTTTAGATAGTAAAACACTATGTCTATTTATATTTAATTAAATTGTATTATATGAAAATTATGTTAATAATAATGGTAAAAAAGAATATATTTGTGTATATATATTCACTAATGGTTCATAAAAAAATTTATTTATTTAATAATTTAGATTTATTCCTTCTTTCAACATTTTCTGTAATGTATGAATTCTTGCTTCCAAATTTTCAAATTCAACTTCTATAATAAAAAATATATTTATATTTTGATATCTATTTATATAATATGTATATTAAATATAATGTAATATATTTAATTGTATATTTTAATACTAACTTGAATTTTTTGTTTTATTATGTATTTTCATACTTCGGCAAGGAGATCGTTGAATTTTAATTGAATCTAATGAACTACCTATTATTATTAAGATATATATTATATAATCATTTTAAAGAAAATATACAAATAAAATTCTAATATTAATAATAAGATTTTTATACACCTGATGATAAACTAGAAGTTGTTTTATTACGACTTGAAATTGAAGACGATCGACTTCTACTTCTAAGGGTAGAAGATGTACGATTACGACGTTTTAATCCTGAATTACTATCTTCAGATTTTTTATTAGTAGATGTACTAAGTTGTTGTACTTTCAATAATAAAGCTGTATTTTCAGTTTTAAGTTTTTGAATTTGCATACAGAAAGATGCACGTTCTTTAATAATGTTTTTTTCTAATGATTTAATCGATGCTAATAAATGTTTTAAACTTCTTCCTGAATAATAAAATATATTAAAAAATTAATCTATAAAATGTAAAAATATTATTTTTACCTCCATTTGTAAGTTTAAGATTTTCTTGTACAAGTTTTTGATTTGCAATTGTAAGTTGTTCAATGCGTTTTTGGAGATCTCTATTTATTCCTGTAGATTGTAATCTTTCAAGTTCAATTTGTAATTTCCTAATGGTAGCTTGTAATATTATTGGATTGGGTAAACCACAATATTCCAGAGGTAATGGATAATGGATTCTTAATGAAATTGGCAAATATTTGATTTATTTTAAGAAAATTTAAAAATTTTTCAAAATATACTTACCTATCAAATTCTACTGTGTATGTTAATATAAGATATCGACGATTATTTGATGTATTACCTAAATTTGAACATGAACTACGTTCAAATTTGCGTGCGCGTAATAGTTCTAAGTCTTCAAATGTAAGAAGATCCAAAGTAATAGATTCGCTTGTCTGTAATTAAATTCTTTTGATTTTATTTAATTAAAAAATTTAAATTCAAATTTTACTTTTAACAATCCAGATTGCAGCATAGCTACAAATACATCAAAATGCTTATAATTTCCTGTTTTGTGCGTCAAATTTTCAATATCTTAAAAATAAGAAATATATAATTAATTATAAAAAGCAAATGATATTTATATGAGATAAAAGTTCTAGCATACAAACAGAATTTAGAAATTCTTAGAATAACCTTAAAATAATGCGTTAATTATTAAAGATGAAAAAATAGAAGACAAACATGCAGCATCGTAGAAAGACCGCCAATTTTCAGCAGTATATTTGTCGCTAATAGTAAGCTCCAAATTACGCTGACATCCCTTAAAAGTAGTAACTTTAATTTTTACGATGTATTCTTTGCCATTTTTAAAAGTATAAGTCGTCACCAAAGACGGACTAACTTCGTTCATACTTAGTGATAGACATTAACGTAATAACGAATATTTGACACAAAAAGTTTTCGAATAATCTGACAAAAATAATTTTTTTAAATGTAATAAAAAGTTTAATCAATGCATTTGTATACTTAAATCTCACACTGATTACTTGAGTAATGTAAGTTCAATATTAAATACGTAATCGTCGCGAAGTAGCAGCGCGGTTGAAGATATATTGATGCGTAGCTGTCAGTGCCATGATATGGTTTTGAATCAAGGAATGAATTAATTTATACGAAGATAAAATAGTTAAATCTTAAATATGTGGTCTTTCTTTTCAAGAGATCCCGCTAAAGATTTTTCATATGAAATTGGTGAACCTATTTCTGGTTTAGATGATAGAAGCATCTGGACGTTACATAGAGCTAAAAAAAAGGTATCATAACCTGGCGCTGTAAAATCTTAAAAAATATTTTATATTTTTAGGTATTAATCCAAATTTTATTCTCTGTTTAAAAGTTTTATTTTTATTACCTGAAAAATCTTTTTGTAGGGATCTACAGGAGGTGAAGATGTTTCAGTATTTGTATTTGAATGCAAAAGTGGTAATGAACATCTTTTAAATATAGCTCGATCAGCAGTAAAAAGATTAAAGACACTTAGACATCCAAGCATACTTGCATATTTGGACAGTTTTGAGGTATAATAATGATGTATAGTAAGACCCTCTTATCTGCAATGATAATACATTCCAAGATTCTTAGCAAATGAAACTGAAAATAATAAAATTAAATAAAGAAGATTATATGCATATTATATATATTTATGATAATAATAAATAACAAAATAATATAATTTAATTATATTATTTATAATAATGAATACTATATCTGATAATGATATAATGATATAATATATATATATATATATATATATATGTATAATGAAATGAATTATATTATGTAATCAATATGTATTTAATATTAATTTTTTCAAAATATAATTTACTATGGATATGGGTGTCTTACAATATTACAAAAAATTGTGTCAATAATATGAATACTAATATTTTTTACAATTACAGACTAATAAAGTAATTTATTTAGCAACTGAACGTGTAGAATCTTTATATAGTAGACTGTCAAGAAAATCTGATAGTGATGATGAATTTAAAAAGGAATTATATTTTTCTTGGGGAATATTCCAGATTACTGTATGTATAAAAATTATATATAATAATATATTATTTTGTGATACATCATTGCATATCTATACTTTAACAGAGAGCATTGAATTTTTTAAATAATGATGCTAATTTACGTCATAATAACGTTAATTTATGGACTGTATTTGTTAATGAAGAAAGTGGAGAATGGAAACTTGGTGGAGTTGAATATATGACAGCAGTAGATATTCTTTATAATATATTACCATCAACATTTCAAGCTTATTATCCTCCTGATGTTAAGGAAAATGTAAAACCAGCTACAAAATGGTAAAAAAGATTTATAGTAGGAATAAAAAAAATTTATCTCTATAATTATTATTAATTTTATATTATTTTTATTGGAAATACATTTAAAAAATTATATTTTAATGTATGAGAAAATAATTCAATTATTTTTGTTCATAGCTACTACTCATTTAGTGTATAAAACATTGACAATGTAATTTTCTTATTTGGTAAATAATAGAAAATAATTATCTTATTTTTAAAGTTACACTACAATACTAGCTTTTCTATATGTAAACATTTAGGTTTATTGTTTACGCTATGAAATTGATGAATAAATAAAAAAACAGCTCAGTTGACATGTGGGGACTTGGATGCCTAATCTGGGAGACATATAATGGTCCACTAAATTCAAATTTGCAACTTAAAGTTATTGATAAAGTATGTTTTTTATTTTTATAAGATATATATTTATTTTTAAATTGAAATATCATATCTTTCTTATTCTATCTTTATTATCTTTTTTTTATCTAGATTCCAAAACAATTACAAGTGATATATCGAGAATTGACTAGTAACAATGCAGAAGGAAGACCAAATCCTGCTGATGTGATAGCACGTTGTCGTAGTAATGGAGGATTTTTTAAAAATGAACTTGTAGATGCACTTTTATTCTTAGAGGAAATTCAAATGAAAGAAAGAGGAGAAAAAGGTCGATTTTTCTCACAACTTGCTGGTCAATTAGAATCATTTCCAGATGGCGTTGGCAGATATAAAATTTTACCACAATTATTGGCTGCTTTTGAATTTGGTGATGCTGGAAGTGCAGTATTACCTCCTTTATTACAACTTGGCTGTCAATTGCCTGATGTTGAATATCAACGAAGAGTTGTACCATGTGTTGTAAAGTTATTTACTTCAAATGATAGAGCAACTAGATTACGATTATTACAACAGTTAGATCGATTTGTCGATCATTTACAACCAGCAACAGTTAATGAAGCCATCTTCCCACAGGTAATTACAAATATTAATTTCTTTTATTATACAAAAATACAAAAAGCTCAAAATATTTTTTATATTAATAGGTAGCCAAAGGTTTTTTAGATACAAATGCTGCAATTAGAGAACAAACAATAAAGTCTGTTGTACATTTAGCACCAAAATTAGATTATAATAATCTTAATGTGGAAACATTGAGGTATTTTGCAAAACTTCAATCAAAAGATGAACATGGTGGCATACGTACTAATACTACAGTTTGTTTAGGAAAAATTGCTCAGCATCTTCATCCTCAGATTAGACAAAAAGTAATTTTAATTCAAATATAAGATTTAAAACTAATTTAAAATGATATATAATAATAAAGAATATTATTGTAGGTATTAATTGGAGCATTTATTCGAGGTACACGAGATCCATTTCCACCAGCTAGAGCAGCGAGTATTTTAGCATTAGCTGCTACACAGCAATATTTTTTATTACAAGAAGTTGCAAATCGCATTTTACCAGCACTGTGTCCACTTACTACAGATGTAGATAAAGGAGTTAGAGATAATGCATTTCGAACTATCCGTGGATTTTTATCTAAACTTGAAAGAGTATCAGAAGATCCTGGATTACGTGAATCTATGGGTATTAAAATAATTCAAGAAGTTTATTTATAAAAGAGCAATTAAAATAATTGATATAAATATACAACATACAATATTTTCAGAGGCTGACGTAAATACAGCTACACCAAGTCTTAGTAATGCAGCTGCTACATGGGCTGGTTGGGCTGTAACAGCTGTTACTGCTAAATTTTATCGTAGTCAATCAGATACACCTAAATCATCAAATGCTCATAATACATCTAGAATTTTATTAAACAAACCTGCCTCCTTAGGTATTTAACTTATATGTTTTTTCTATTCTATCACTATGAAACATTTTCTATAAAAATATGTAATAAAATTACAGAGCAAGCTAGTAGTTCACAAAGTAGTGCTAGTACAACTGCCACAACAAGTAGCGCTACAAGTATGACATCATTGGATCATGATCATGAACATGATTTACAGAATGCTACAAATGCAAATTCAGATTGTGATTGGGATTGGGATGCTGATAATTGGGGTGATATGGAACAACAACCTTCTACTGTATTAGAACATGGATCAAGTAATATTTCTCCATCTTCTCATTCTCCTAAATCGAATGATCAATGGACTAGTCTGGAAGAAAAACCGGTTTGTATTATTTGAAATTTTATGGACATTATTTTAAATACATATTAATATATAATTTTTATAAAATAATTATTTGTAATATCTTGAAATTGGAAGAAAACTCAAATATCATTTTTAGGAGGAAGAAGCAGCACAGAATGTTGAAGATAAAAATGAATCTTCTGACATAGGCTGGGAGGATTCTGAATTTCAGCCTCTAGAAGATTTTCAACCATTAGAACACACACAAACAGGTATTTATATATACAATTATCAAACTAAAATAAAAATATTTTTATAATAATTTTAAATTAATTTTTTTTAATCTAAGAAAACATTGAAAGTACCAATACAATTAGTACTAAATTAAAAGAAGCCAGAAGAAAACGCGAAGAGGGAAAATTAGCAAGGCAAAAACAAATGGAAGCCAAAAGGGCGATAAAATTACGGAACAATGTTGTTGCTAAGAAACTCTAATTTAAATATTATATAATTTAACAATTGCATTGATGTAATTAATAAAAAAAAATTAAAATATGATGAATGCTAAATAAGTATTTTTTCTATCAATAATTAGTTGATTTATTAAAAATCGGTTTTTAATTGTTTTTCTAATATTGTTTATTGCATTATTATATATTCTTATAAAATACAAAATATTATATAACATTTAACAAAATATAGCCACGTATCATTTTTAAACCTACATTTAATTTATTAATTCATGTTAAAATAATCTATTAATTAAAAAATTAAAAAGAAAATAGTTGTCTGCTTCTTCTTTCCTTTTTTTTCTTTCTTATTGTTATTATTATTCTTATTATTATGAAGAAACAAGATAATAAAAATCACTGTTTGAATCTGAAATATGCATAATGTACATAGATTTAAGATATAACTTACAATTTTTTTTATGAGAAGTTTTAAATACTTTTTTTTTTTATTGTCATAAATGCAATATTTTTGCAGTGTTTTCAATAGAAAATCTCATATTCAGATAATTAGCATTATTAGGTTCACGCTTAAAACCCAAACTTTCATAGAATGGTATAAGGTGATCTTTACAATCCAATGATAATTTATAACATTGTAAATAATTTGATAATTGCAGTATGATTTTAACTACCAGCTTTCCTAAATGTTTACCACGGTATTTATTATTTACTACTACATCTTCTAAACGTCCTCTCTGTAACAAATTTTTTATTTTCATTGCATAAAATTTATTTTATGAAAAATAAAAAATTTTAAAAAAAGAAAAACATACCAATGCACAATTATGAATGAATTTTTGCTCTACAACTAATGTTGCACTTGCTACTATTTTTCCAATAGTTATATCTTCTATTACAATAGTATAATAACTACCAGTATCTTTCATCATATGAAAACGGTCTATGCATTTTTAAAAGACCAAATACGTTTATTATAACTCATATTTGTTTTTAAACACAAGTTAATTTAAAAAAAAAACTTACTTAAAAATTGTTCTCTACTAATATTTCCAACTTCAGTCAATTGAGTCAAAAGTTGAAGAAAATCTTTTAAATAAATACCATAAAATTAATAAATAACCTATATTATTATTAATAGTAATTCTTCCAATTATTATTTTACCTCTATCATAATCTTTAGATTTCAAAGGTCTAATTAATAAACCTTCGATGTGTGATAAAGATAAATGTTCCAATATACTCGAATTAAATAATTCAATTTCTTTATCTTCAAAACATTTTTCCTAATAATATCCAATAAACAAAAAGATAATTAATTATTAACATAAAAGATTAATGTAATAACAAATATGCAAAAATTTTAAATTCAATAACATATTGCTTTTAACTTTATATATATATTACATATGAAATTAAAAATATTTTTTTAATTTAAAACGGTTATATTTTAAAATGACAAGCATTTACAACCTCTATGGAACTCATGGCAAGAAATACACAATTTCACATTTATTAATAATATGTAATCGTATTTGATAAATTCTTTTATCTTCCGCGCTCGTTTAGATTATAGATATGAAAATACAAAACCGTTATAATATTTTAATTGATCTTGTTGTAAATGTAAAATGTTATTTCCACGTAACTACTTTTAAATACATTTTTATGTTTTATAGATATTTTAAGATTATCTTGATAAGTTTCCATCAATAATCAATTTCTATTTATAATTATATATTATGATATGATAAAATAGTCTCATGAAAATAAATCATAATATTAATAAAAATAATATTAATAAAAATTATTTTATTCTTGAATTAAAATTGTTAATTTGCTTAAAATTATTAAAAATATTTTCTATTATTTAATATTCAAATAATTAGGCTAAATTTTAGAAATGGGTACTAAAATTTTTAGACTTTTATTGTGATTTCATAAATTTTAACATGTAAAATTAAAAAATAATAATCTTGATTAATGACAATGGTCAAAATTTAATAGTTTATTCGTATTCAAAGTATTCATATTTTTAGGAATTTTTATGAAATACATTATATTATATTGAATTTTTACCCAATCTTGAAGAATAAAAACATTAAATTCAAATTATCTACTTAATATATATATTATAATTTTAAATTAATAATTTTAATATATATATATCAGAAATAGTGAACAAATTGTTAGCAAATTATTATAAAAATATTATTTTCTTTTTTACATTCAGTCGCATTGTTATTGATTTTGAATTAGATAAAACGTTAATACATGATCAAAATTGAATTGGATCTAGATTATTATACAATTTGAGTTTTTTATTTGAAAAACGTTGCTTTTGTCATATAAATATTTTAATTAAAATTCAATGATATAAAAAATTCGCAAATATATGAAAAAATTTTCGAATTATTAATTCCAACCATTAACAATTTAAATTATCATTTTCAAATTCTGTACGTCACATCTATAAAAACGTATCAAAAATTTTAGTATTTTTTTCTAAAGTTTAATCAAAATTTCATATTGAAATTTGTATATATATAAAATTATTATCTTTAAATGTCTAATTAATTTTTTTTAAATTTAAATAGTTTTATTAAATGAAATATTTTTTTAATACAATCTTCATTTTTTTTTAAATTTTGTCCAATTCTTAACCAATACGATATTAAACTTTAGATTTCGATATTTTTCGATATATTTCAGTAGGTTATTCATTATATAATATCATTCGATGGTCAATACCTGGAAGCTAATTTTTCTGAGTTAATTCGTGAAAATTGTTTTGAAAAATTAAATTAATAAAAAGTATTAAATATTTAAAGGTATTATATATTATTTTGTTAATATTTCAATAATCAATAATTAATTATTAAATAAATAAACTGAAAGAAAGTTATACAAATTTACAATTTATTAATCAGCTCTATATTTATTTTTTATATATTATTTGTCATATAATCGTAAAATAAATATGATAAATACAATTTATGTCGCATAGTTTTTCAAGATTTTGAAAGATTAAAAATTTTTTCTTTTATTATGTCAAATATAAAGTAGAATGATCTTAACTTTGCAAAATAAGTTTTTCACAAAATTATTTAATAATATATTATAACAATAAAAATTGATATTAAATTTTTATTTTCAGTCATGTCTGGAAGACCAATGAAATTTCCATATACAATTGCTGCAAAAATAACTCGCTTTCCATTTCATCATTACTTTGTTAAAAGTGAAACAGGTTGGGTATTCCGGTATTGGGCAATTAGTATACTCATTTGTGCACCTCTATGGTATAAATTCCAACAATTAAGTAAGTGGAATATTTTCAAATCATCTAAAATTATTTTATGCTTATATATATATAATAAATAATATTCTTTCTTTTTTTTTAATTTTTTTTTAGGTTATAATCCAGAAAATGTTAAAAAATGGGATGAAATCCATAGACATCAATTTTCTGGAGAGATGCGTCATTAAATTATATTTGAAAATATTGTAGTAATATGAAATGAAATGAAAATATAAAATACTAAATTAGTTAATAAAAATTCTATTTCTAATTTTTAATTTCTTGCATAGTATATTATAAACAAATTTCAATTGTAAATCTATTTTAAAAGTTTATTACCAAATTAATCGTATAAAACATACATGATTACAAAGAACTGTTTCTACTACTGTACAATATAGATTAATGATATTTTGTACCGTAGATTTTGTGTAGGGCCAGCCTAAAATTTTTAATTTTCTTAACATAGGTTGATTTTTTCAAAACAAAAAAAATGTATGTATAAATAAGTACTATTAATATTTTAATGATTCGACAAAAGTTAAAACAGAAATAATTAATAAAATCCTTAAATCTCAATAATTTTATGCGGAAACAACATATTTGAAAATCCTAATAAAATCTATTTTATGTAGAAACAAATAAAAATTTGCATCAATGCATAATTATTTTAGTACGAACTTTTTGAATTCATAAAAAAAAGCTATTTTTATTGTACATGTAAATCATTAGTTATATTATGTGTGACAGCACTTCGGTATATAGATAAATTGTAAAAGACAGATAATATATAATATTTTATGAATTTTGTATCTAATTTTTTGTAAATCTAAGATTTCAAAGTTAGAATTGTATTTAGGTAACCCTCAAAATTTATATTACTTAAATGTAAGAACAATATTAAAATAATGTTAAAATAATAAATAATTATTAATACATTGTAAAAAAATTTGTTCATTAACAAAAAATTTGTTTATAATAATACTAACTCAAAAGACTATTCTTGTACTGGTTCAAGCATATGAAAAGAATTCATTGCTTATGCGCGTGTTTATTTGTTTATAAAATATTCTAAGTTAAACAGTAATTTCTACAAAACGATATGCAAGAGCAATTGTACCATGCTATATAAAATTCTACAAATAATACTGTATATACTTTTATTATAGCAAGCCTAAGAAAAAAAAGTTAATCAGTATATTAATTTGATAATTAACGTAGAAGAAAATATTTTAAACACTTTTAAGCTTGCATTTTATCATCTGTCTCAGATAAATTTTATAAATTCTATGCAGCAATTTTTAATTTTGAATAATTCAAGTCTTTTTTTTTTAGTAATATATACTTTACAGAACTTTTTTAGTTGAATTATGAATTTGTACACAATTCGACATCTATGTGTACAAATTTAATTTTAAGATACATTTAATTTACGTATCAGGAATAAAAATTGATATTCAATAAATATAACGAATCGAGAAAGCACTTTATCTCTATCTTGATTTTTGAATATCTTCTGTATCTTCATCTTCGCTAATTGCAAGATCATTTTCTTCGAGTTTTGATTTCTTTGCATCTGGAGGTCGCAGTAATTCTTCACCATGTATCAATCTTAGTTCTTTGCATCGTTTTTCATAATATTTTAATAATCTCATACCTGCTCTGTACACGTAACTATTTTTAAAAAGATATAATAACTTTCAAAATTTGTAATATTTTAAATGTTCGGAAGCCAAAGATTTTGATTTTAAATGATTATTGTTCTATTTGTTATTGCAATAATTTTGTTTATTTTTTTAAATTTCAAAATAGATTATTGCAAAATATTATTGCATAAATATTCGTAAAATATTTTAATTTAAATATATATTAGTTATAAATGCATATATTATTTATTTTTTATTTTTATTTTATTTATTATTTATTTAGAAAAAGTAAATATTAATAAACAAATATGATATAGAATATGAAAATATTTTATTATGATTAGTAAATAAAATTACTAAGTATTTAAATACTTGCAATATGAAAATATAGCACATTAATCAATATTATTAATTAATCTCGCAATCTCTGGCATCCGAACTTATGAATAAATATATTCATAGTAGTTATACTCACTTATAAACGGAACTGTGTTCTTCATTATAAGCTTGACAATTTTCAAATACTAAGTGACAATCACTGAAGAAATGTTCCAACGTTTCATATTCATTATTGTTAAGTTTGTATTTAATTGTACCAAAATCCATAGGATTGGAAATAATATCATGATAATCTGGAACTTCGTCTTTTGTAACAGGTGATAAGAAAGGCCATGAGTCTCTATGTTGTTTAATATCAGAAAGTAATTCTTGTAATCTTCCTAAACATCCTTTAATTGTTCCTTTATCTTCTTCTTGTTCGATTTCAGCAGCTCTCTTTGCAGCTCTTCTAGTTTGTCTTGGTTCTGTATCTTCTGAAGTACTACTATCTGTATATTAAAATTTATATATAATTAAATAATTTTAGAATCTACATATATTTAAATTAATTAGTTAATGAAAAATATTAAACAAATTATATAAGTAAAAAAGCAAATTATATATAAATAATATAAATAAGTAAAAGCAATAAGATTTAATATAAATTTTAAATGCTTTTTTTTAATAAGATAATAATAGCTATCAAATATACATGCAATAATCTGATCTACGCAATTATATATTAATAACAAACAAATGTATAAAGCAATATATTGTATAATTATATCAAATATCATTATATTTATAAAAAAAAATTATATATTCATACTACATAAAAGAAAATAGAATTACAATACAGACCGTCCCAGTCTGTAGATTCTGTAGTGAGGAGGCTCTTGGCAAAGCCATGGATGCGAGAGCGTGCTGCTGCAGCGCACAGTCTCTCCTTGTCCCTTTCCCTTTCACGCCCCCTCACTAACAACACAATTAAAACTAAGGAACTGCTTTATTACATAAGTATTTAAAGTAAAATTTACTAAAATGTTAACATAATAATGAAATATTATGAAATAGAGTAATATTTATAAAGTTTATCATCAATATTTTCTGTTATTATTAAATTACAAATATATTGTAATATTTACCATATTTTATATTCATCTTTCTATCTCTCCTATCTTTGCAATCTGAACAAATCCATCTTCCACGAGGTGCTCTTGTTATAGGTGGTTCTATACATTCTATATGATAAAAGTTTGGACATATATCACAACTGATCAATTTTCCACCACTTTTACATGCTGAACATACATTTATTTGTTGATTACTTCTAAAAAATGTATATTAATTAATTATTAAAAGGTTTATTTGCTTTCTAAAATATGTAATACTTACATATTATCATCACTATCTTCTTCTAGTTCTTCATC